GTGAACTAAGCAAGCGTTACATCGAGATACGGCTTCTCACTGCCTCTCAACGTTTTGCTTGGCATCGAGTAACAAATAGTCGCAATGGCAGGTTTCTAGACAGACTAGTTACCGTTGAAGAAGAGAGGTATGTTCATGTCATCATAGGACAAAGAAAATAATAAGTGGCTCTGGGCGATACGCCCAATCTCAGAGCTTACGCAGATCTACACCCCAAGAACACGACGATTTGCATTTGGCAGAACTAAAAGGGTCTTATGCACGGTGAAATGTTGGAGAAAACTAGGACGGTCAATAAGAATCTGTATAAGACACCGTTGCGTCCTGTAAACGAAGCTGTCTAACGGAAGAGACGCAATAGACAAGGGAAAAGTCCTCCTTCTCCGCGAAATCCCAAACCGTGCATGGCTATGAGAGCTACCCTGCAAGGGGTTGAGTGGTAGGTCTTTTTGCACCCATTATATTCCCTGGATTTCGCTCCAACAGATTATCAACTTTTTCCAGTCACTGGATGTTATAGTTCGTAACTGTTCATTTGACAGTAAAAAAGGTTCCGAAAGCTGCTTGGAGAACACGTCTGGCGAGAAAGAGTCAGTGAATTGGTCGAAAGATGAAAGAAAATCGTGGAGATGACGGTCATCATATTTGTTACTAGATTTTTGGTGAAACGCTACAAAAACTTTTGAATTTGCGTATGTGACCAGTAAGCGAAAAAGTCCTGATCATTCGAGGCTATCCGACTTCTCACAGCAAATAACAGCACAGAAGTTGCAAGGTTCTTTCTTCAATCAACAACAGTTAGGCAGCGACAATGCAACAAATGCGAGCCACTTTTTTCTCGTAGTACAATATTGCCGAAGGTTTACATTTCTCATTGAAATCGTCTTCTATTTATGCTTGAATACCCTAAAAATCATCATTAATGGGGTACGTTTTTCAAACAAAGCCTACATGTATCAAGGTTAGATATTGGAAAGTCAGTTGACCGACTGGCGTTTTTATTCTTTATCTGTTAAAGTAGGAGCGAAGTAAAATGCAAAAAAAAAAAAACGAAAATGGACATCTATAAACTATTGAATAAATTTTTTTGTAAACTATCAGGAGATTTTTCCTTCACAGTAAATAGTGTGTGTATAACGACATAAAATATTATTTAAATCGGCTACTTACGTATTAAAAAAGAAGCAGTAATGGCCGAGTAAGCGTTACTTGGGCAGACACGAGTTCTTAAGGAATCAAACTGGTTAACAAATGGGGATAGGCCGCGAGGTGACAACGAATACATACGGAATATACTTGTCGCTACGATTCGAATGAAACACTGCCCTATTAATTAAGAGAACAAAACAACGGTTGTGCCGCAATCTGATCAACGTATTCCCTTCCGTCGAGCCATTTGCCTTCGTCTCAGCTGTATTCTTTTGTCCTCATTGAATATCATCAAGTATAAGTTAGCTTGTAATTCACTTGAAAATGTCATAAATACGTGCAGCCAATACCGATGGTTATTAAAAATGGTTAAGGCCAGTTAATAACATGACTAAGCAAAAAAAATCTATTTATAGACTGTCATTAATAATACGTTCGGGTTCTATAATAGTTTGAGAAGCATGTACTGTATATACTGAACTGCGTAATCGTTATGCTATTTGTAGCACGTGTGAGATACGATTTTCTCCATGTAGTAGTTGTCTGGAGCGGTAAAGTAGGTTGCTCAGTACATCCATTACTGCATCCGTTCATCCAATAAACTTGGGGGTACGTGAAGTGGTCCAGATTTGGAACCAAACGTGAACACATTTCGCTTTGCGCTGGGAGGTGCTGAAGCAATGATGAACGGCAATACCGGACGTAAAATTGGAAATATTCCTTTTATTGCTAGTGTGCCTATTGCAGAGAAAAAGGCAAAGTGCTGTGACGTTCGAACTACGCAGTGACCCAAAGCCCGCGCTCGGACATGCTGCTACCAATGATTGTGGGCTAATCCATTAATCTCTGAAACGGCTGATATCGGAGACATGACAAGAGGAGAGTTTGCGTAAGCGGTACGAAGCGACGCCCGGTGAATGGCAGATTAACAAAGGTGAGTATCAGGTCGATAGGAGCAAGCAAGGACGAAGCAAGCCACAGATCGTTTGTGTAAAGACGCTTTATTTAAGATTAGTAGCGAATACTAAGGACTCAAAGGGCAAGTCGTCCAAAGACCTTCGATTTTGAGCAGCAAGTCGATTAGAAATACCGTTAATAAGCAGATGGAATGGTGAGCGATAACAAACAATACAGTCATTGTTCAAACACAGATATTGATTGGCATGTGAGGTCCAACAATATATATTCGTTATTATTATCGTTCGATAATATTAAAGATCTGTCTGGATCTTGCGTAAATACAAAACTGTGGATTAATAGATAGCCGTTAATAGTATCAAGGCTGCTTGTATTGCTTAACTAAAATGATGCTACTATTTTTTAACATAGGAAAGCAGATATCCAACCGTTAAAAACAGCCCATTCCCTGACGTCTGGTTTTCAATCGAACGCATGGTTTAATGTCAGGCTGAAGTAAGCAACTATATGAAAGTAAATGACAGGGCTTATATAAAGCACTCCTTGTAAAGTTTACCTTCTTTAGAAATATCGCCCTTCGCTGAACGTCTTCATTAATTATGAAAATGATAAGGAATTGTATCATTTATTTACCTGATTAATCGTGGCTCTAGGGGAGGAAAAAAATTAGATCAGCCAGGCATGAACACCGGACGCTCAAACAAAAAGTTAATTCCTGACACACAATTCAAAAGGTCTTTTGAGCTTTATCTTACCACTGCAACTAGCGGTGATGTTCCCTTCTTCCGCAGTAGGATTAACGTAAATGTCCCTATTTGTTCTTTTCGTTTGAGTAAATCCTGTTCCAGCTCGAAGTCACAAACAGACCCTGGGTCTACAGTTCAGAGTAGCGAAGTATATGAAACAAGAAGAAGCAAGTTTAGCTAATGTTAGCCCCACGTTCAATTATGTAATTCCAATATCCAGTATCTTAGGCTATATACTTTCATTTGTTATTTATCTTTGGTTTTCGCTCCGTTTTCAGGCGCAAGCGCCTGTTTACTAGCTAAAAACCGGATCATTTTTTCGATTTTAATTATACACTAAAGGTTTTGTTGTTACTAATGCTAATGTTATAGAAAGCGGTCATGATCTTTATTTATATTCCATCTTTCTATTTATATCTACCCTAAATGTGCATGTGACGCCGAGACCCTACAGATGACAAAATGGCCATAACCTATCATGCTTTAGGATACGATTAAACAAACGAAACCCAAAACTAACTTTTTTGCCTGTATTGGGTGTAGTCGTGTGCGTGTGGACAAGCTTCCTGAACCAGCTATCGCCTTGTTGACCGTCAAGAAATCAAACGTTTAATCTATCGTTATATATTAATCGAACTGCGTATGGATATGTGTGGATGTAGGCTTAATTAAAAGGGTGCGTTCAGGCGAACTTCTTCCCCAGCGATCGTCTAGGCGGATTGTATAAACTGTTGCCTAGTAATCGTATCCATGCGAGATGTTCTTCTAATCGGTTGCTTACATCATAGATAGCTAAAGGTTCTAATTGGAGTAATTGTTCATTGCTAATCTCATTTCATTTAGGAACATATTCGCGCTTAGCTAGCCAGATGGGGGAGCTGTCGACCAATTACAATGCTCCAATGATCTACAAAGACGTGTACGCAAGTGCAAAAAGTCGGAGATTGCTCATTCTCTTAGTAATGCCCTGCGTTCTTTAATTACATTAAAGTGTTTCCAGATTCAAAGTTCTTTAAACTATCTTAATATGTATTTCTGCTGCTGTTGAAGTGTTTCTGTTCTTCACGAGGACCCTTAAGAAGGCAGGCACAATTCGTAGCAGCGCTCTGAGCGTCGCATCGCTGGAGAAGCACCGTTGATTCACTTCTTTCTCCCTAGAGTGCAACCAACACTGATCAAATATTGACCAGCCAGACTACTGCTCCTGAGTGCTGTCGAGAGGGTGATGAGGCGTATTACTTCCGTAGGTACATTCATGGGCCGCTACGATCCCCACGAGCTGTGAAACTCGGGAGGATGTCGGCCTGGAACGACCGCAAAATCAACGGGTTTGATGGGAATACAAAAGACCTTGAGCGGCACCCAATTGACCAGGTGACATTGAGGATCGTGAACTGGTTGGCGTCACCGCTAACAATGGCCTTGTACTTTTGCATAGAACTACAATATATCGTGATTTCTCAAGTAAATGTTTAGTGAACTCTTTTGCCGTTCCTCGCATAGAGTGGTGGTTACATCTAGATAGTGCAACGATCTATCTAAATTAGAAGTATAGAAAAGACATAATCTGACTTTTTTTTCAGGTATCACAGATTTTTATTTCTTAATAAAATAACTATTTACAAGGATATATATACAGTGATTCAAATACCATCGCATTGTTTCGTTTCATTCAAGTAAGCACTGAAACCTGGAACAAAGGAGGGAAGTACTCGACACTAGAGTTCGACACAAAACTTTATTTTAGCTCTACCTGTCTTTTTCAACCGCTCGAAATTGCTGAAACTAAGTTCATCGTCATTGAAGCTCAAGCCGAGTTCCTTCGGGCTCTAAATCTTTTGATCGAAATACAATGATCTCCATTCCCTTTTTCCTTTTTTTAAAGGATCCTGATGCCTTGCTTTTTCCGCTGTATTGCTATCTTCATCTTAATTAATATTGTCTCGCTGTTCTGCTCAGGTCGAGTTGGTAAGTCCCACCACCATCAACATCAGTGATATGGCAAAAGCTCTAATATTGCGTTCTTGTTCATCACTCATCTCGTCCCTTCCTTTCTATCATTTTATTGTTTAATTATCAATAACGTTGTCACCCTACTATCTAGTGAACCAATGAATTTCGCTGTTTGTTTTTCTTGCATATTTCTTGCGACATCACAACGTAGCCTTGTGGTCATCTTGTTTTATCATATATATATATATATATATATATATGTACTCTTATCATTGCTTCTCGCAGCGTTCTCCGTCGGTCAGCTACGTCTCCTTCAACTCTCTATTAGGTTCAACCTGTTTTGTTGTCTATCGCGCAGAGCCATACATCGTTCACGTACGCACAAAACCTTTACTGTAGTCAATCATTCATCGGGGGTTCATCCGCAATATGTCGCACTCAATCGAAGAACATACATACGCAGTCACATTCAAAGAAGTAATGGTGCATGCGGACACTAGATGTTTATACTGTTCTTGCCTATTCGCCTTCGCTCCGTACCAGTATTAGTCCCTTGACAAATCGGCGCCCGTTTTCCTGACCAAATATATTTTTTATTTACTCTTCACTTTAACAACTGTATGTAATGGTCTTGCATTACTGTTACCATTGTTTCATTCTGTCTGGGTTCTCCAATAGCGTCATTCGCTTTGTTGTACATGTTACATGTGTCGTACACGCGTACTTCACCTTCATCTCGTTCAATCATCCGCAGATCACTCTTTGGTTCACATTACGAAGCAGTCCTTTGTTTAATATTATCTACCACGTACAGTCTTCGATCGTTTGTTTCTGTACAGTTGATCGATTTAGCTTGCCTCTCTCATGTTTATCATTTGTCGATTTTAAGGTAGCGTTTGTTTGAGGTTCTGCAAAAAAATCATGCCGAAGTGAGTTGCAGCATGTTACTCGATCGACTTAACGTTATTTACTTCGCACATATAATTTGTAACATGTTGCTAACGGTGATGCCTAGAGCACGATACGCTCCCCGGCATATGCAGAGGTTTCCGTTTGCCGACGCCATCAGATTGTTTAGATATGGGGCGGCCTCAACGAAATGATAGTGGGAGAGGCTGAGCTGTGTTTATGCTTACAGAATAGCAACGTTTCCATTGAAATGCGTACGTTTTTGCAACAGATCAAACTCAAGAAAACGAACGAATACGGCACGAAAGACAACTCTAAGGTCATCAATTAAATTATTTAAAGTATCAAATCGAAACACCCGGTAAGAGGGCTATTATTAAAGTCCAATTGTATTTGTCGCATGCAAACAGAAGTAACATAATGTTTATGGGACAAAAAGTAACTTGGAGACCCCCTTAAAGGGAATGTCTAAAAAACTAAGTCTATTGAAAACCTGTCGGGACAGCGAGGAAAATAAAATTCAACATCAATTATTTCCAGTTTCTATGAACAGGCCCAAGTTAAGAGACTGATATAACGCTCAGACAAAACGAGCCGGATACCCAAAACTAGTATGCCTTTTTCAACTTTCAGGATAGTACTGGGTCATCGAACCTGGCAGGCCAGAAATGAGTGTGTCTTAGTTCGTCTGTAAATAGTCTGTTCGTAGCAACAAAACATAGACGCAACAAGTTCTATATTTACGTGTCTGTGACGACAACTTCAAATTAGTATCAGTTGAATAGTGTATAGTAATCGTAGCACTGAGCAAACAATTTGGACAATTCTTACAGGTGCTGTTTTTGACATTGTCGAGCCGTGACGGTGACTACAACGTCGAAATAGTGGCGAAGATCACAAAAAAAGCCAGCGCCACTCCGACTGATATGCTTAGTGTTGAAGTTTCAACCAGATGTGTTGCCTCTGATGTGAAGCGCTCTGAAATGGAGAGAGACATAAACAACATGACGTTTCGGCTTGTTAGTAGGAACAAAGCAAATCAGAGTTAAACAGCATGAATGTCTTTAATAAAAACCGCTTTTGACAGAAAATCAGGCTGAGAGCACCCACTAGCTGATACTCGACAACACTAAAATGCTTAGAAAAGCACCGAGTGGCAAAGGCCAAACCTCAACTACGACTACGTTCGCTATAGGTTTACTTTAGACAAAAATGAATCGACTGAAAATCTTCATCTACAGGCCTACTGCCTATTTTTGTAAGCTTTATTGCTGGTACACACTTGTATGAATCAAGGATCAAGCATTCTAACATATGTACTTCTAGGATAATGAAAGTCAAAACTTGTGTATGTCGTTACTTCGCTCACTTATAATAACACTGGATTGCCCTTTTTCTCCAGAGCAAGTTCTTCCTATAAATCTGAGTACGCTCATACGGGCGTACTAAAAAAAAGAATCACTCTAAGAGTTCCAGGGCGCAGCAAAAGCCTGAGACGCACGAGCTGGTCGAACCTAAGAACTTTTAATGGGAAGAATTGCCATCGTCGATGAACATATGGATTTCAGCGATTTTTTTTCGCCCCACCTGGCTTACCCTGCGGTCTGAGCAAGCAAGTTTGCCCCCCCTCCGCTCCATTCAAGCCATCTCCAAGCCGATGCAAAGCAAACACTGTGGACGATCCCCCCACATTTCGTCAGCTCATTGAGTCAACACAGCTTCCCGCATCGGCTGGTGGCTTAAGCTCTAGTTCAGGGGACGAGACACTTTTATATCCCCAGGATCTTATATGATGAAGACTCATACCCACCAAACAGGGTCCATCTGCTTCACGCACTTCTGTCGTCTTCGCCAACGCTCAGCCGCAAACGATTCATTCGCATTGAAGAACCTATCCACTGCTACCTGTGAGCTAGACATTGATCCTACCATTCTTGGCAAGTAGTCTTCAGTAGGTCCGCGTTCAACAAAAATGTCATCGTCGACGAGTCCATGCTGACATTTTCGAATGCAGACCGAAAGCCATCGAACGGAGTATCCGTTGTGCTAATGTAATGTGTGCTAGATTAGAAGCGTCGAAGGTGTACAGATGGTCATGGATGTGCCCGCGAATCGAAAAAGCTGAACGCTGCTTTCACACACACTCATTACATTTGCTAATCTGATATTAGGGCGCGCTGGATAAGCGACATTTAATAGTGCTAATTCTTCGAACGGGGTTTCAGACGAATACAGCCAAATACATATATGTGCCAGACATAGATATCTGTACTATTAGTTAGGGTTAGGCTATGTGTGGCGTTCAACAACAGTTATATTGAACGAAGGAGCGCAGGAAGTCGCTAGGAACTTAGCCCAGTTTCTTTTATTAGATTGCACTACATTACAATACATATATTTATTTCGTACAGCGGTAATTCCCACGGTAAATGGCTTATGCATATGCATCCTTATACATATGTGACGTACTCACCCGGATAGAACTCGAGAACTCTTGTCTGCTTAATGTCCGTCGACGGAATAGTGTACACGCAGAAGAAAAGATGGCGACGAGCTTTTGAACTCTGTGCGCTCAATCGAAATAGTCGATTCGATAACGACGTTGTGAGGACTGTCATATAGCCGTCTTTGGTGGCCCGTCTCTGATGACCGACGGGCTGGACGCTATAGTTGAGGTCATCAGTCATGTTTGCCACGTTCGTGTACTCGTTGCCAGCGATTCGAGTCTGCTCGACGCGGTACATATGCAGCTGTGGCTGGGGAAATATGCCCTCGACTTGGCACTTAAACTGCGTTTCGCTAGAATCTGCTGGCCGGCGGAACGATAGCGAGAATCGACGAGGCTTAGCTGCAGAGGTAATGGATCATACAAAAATAACGATAAGCGTGTGTTAGAAGGTTTGTAATGAATAAACACGAAATAAATACGTTATGCAACAATTAGTGTTAGATACTGGCTATTTTGGATGTGGTTCTAGTTGCCAGTTGTAGGCGAGTTTCAATACGTAATTCTGACATATTATGAAAAGTCTTGTTGTTTCAATGAAGTTTTCCTTTTCTCTAGTATAATTGCGATTCATTTCACTCCAACCCTGGAAGCCACATTGCTTACTGAAACGGATTTTGCCTCATTAATAAGCACGTTACATTGCACTTAATAGGTTTACAACCGGCATATTCGTATGTCAGTGAGCATAGCAACGGTACCCGCCGACGCATATTACGTGTTGCACTTGACGTCTAGGTAGCATAGGACACTAGTCCTACTGTGAACTAAGCGAAATAAGCTATAGGTTCACGTCAAAGACAGCAATAGTATTAGACTAGTTCTACCAGAAACTAGACGTTTTTCACCACACGCATGTCCTGTAACTGCTTCTCACCTCGTATAAGAAGAATATCTTGGTAGGTACGATGCTTCATTACAGCCACAGATAGTCGTCTGTATAGTTCTAATTATCAGTTTCGTGTTGTTCCACTGTCCATTGCGTGCTCAGAACGAGCGTATCGTCCTGTACAGCATCGTCGGTTCACACCGAGAGATACAAAGCCTTTCGTTCATATTATCGCAAGAAAACCAAAACGCATCGTTGCAATATGAGGCCGCTTACAGGCGTAAGGTGCACCTATCAACGATAACTGTACGTTAGAAGAACGATAGCCACGCTAGCGTAGTAATAGCGAGTCTCGCGCTGCCGATTTTGCGAGATTTAACCCGATCGGGAGGAAACATGTCTACCGAAATCGAGGCAGAAGAGTAGACTGCCCTTTAATGTGCCAATCGCAGCACGTAGAAGAGTTGTATTAGCGCAGCTGTCGCACGGCTATTCTTTGAATCCCTTTTCCACAGCCCCATTGCCCTCGCTTTCTCTCGGCGGCAAGTTATGCAGCTTTGGGATAAAGGCAGAGCAACTACAACAGCCAGGTCGCAATGTGATTGTGGAGCTACTAATGTCCGATAGCTAGACGATGTCCGTCTACGAATACGGTGCACTCTAGCTCTAAATGCGCCGAAAACATCCAACAGAGCGGAGCATGCTTTTTCTCTCCATATATGACCACACGAGGGCTCGCGTTAAATGAGTTAACGGATATGTCCCGATGTTGGTCAGTGGTATGAAGCATAACCCAATTCGCACGGCTTCAAGAGAGCAATGGACGTGGGATGGGAAGGCTGAGAGAGAGAGAGAGAGACGTCGACGTGGTAAGCGCAAGAACGAATCACATTGAAGAAGTTTATGGAAAATAGGTAGTGTGCTTGGACCCGTGCGGATGTTATTGATTGTTCTAAATACCAATGACTACTTCTTTGTTCATTGTACAGAACGTTTTGTCCTACGGTGTTATAGCGCGCTGTGAGGTTTTACACGGCACACAAATGCAGCGTGCAGCATTTGGATAGTAATATCTTTAGCCCATCCTTTGCTTCGACTAAACGCTACCTGATTTGCATGGTAGACAAGCTGAGGCTTTCGTACGCACGCATCCAAATTTAACGACAATTGACTAGTCGAATGCATGTATAAACACCGATGTATTTTGCACGTCTACTACCCACTATCGATACACAGAAGTGAGCGTGATTTCGTCGCAATTTATATCAGAGAATAACGACAATTGCCGATAAATCACTCTACACCGCGAAGCCATATAGATGAAAACTAAAGTTACCAATGACCAACTTTTTAACAACCTACATAGCTCTCCCGATCTCTAGCTCTGTACTTTATTTGCAATAACGTGGCTTTCTGCGAGTTAAAGATAACAACGTATTCCTTCATCACTATCTTATCGACGCCTGCCACTGAAGATCTATTCATGGTTCAGTTGGGGGTAATCATTCACATGCGGAATCGAACAGGGTGAATACTACACGCACATCTGAGCAACTGCGCTCTATTGTAACCTACATATAGTAGCTAAATATGGATCTTAGTACAGTTTACCGTTAGCATTTTGTAACGTTAAATGCGTATTCGTTGGCGAATCCATAGAAGAAGTAAAACGCAAAACGAGGCGACAGGCACACGCATAAAAAGCACTTTGAGCCAAACAAGTGGCTTGCTAATAAGATGAGATGTAGAATGGCCGGCAGATGAGGGCATGGAGTAACCGTGTGGCAACACGACGAGACACGTATGATAGAAACAATGCAAGGAAAAAGGTGGCAAACGGATAAGGAAAATGGGAAAAAATGAGATCCAGACAGACGAAGGAGCCTTTACGACTGCACTGCTTGTATTGAGGGTGGCGGCGGCGGAAGGGATTTCGTGTGTTGCATTAATAGCAGGGGCCAAACTTTGCCTTCGCTTGGCTGGTTGCTTTTGTCGTCGGCGGTAGTAGGATAGTGGTTATAATTTGTTCAACTGACAGGCCCGTATGCGGAGGTCGGTAGCGAGCCTGAGTGGACCGGAAAACCTTGGTGGGCCGGCAGGCCTCTTCGCAGTCATTCACCTTCACAGGCCAAGCAAGCGGCTGCCTACACCGGTCACAGCCGGTACTTCTGTTCGGGAAACCATCTCGGAACGAACTAACGAAAGTCGAAGGGACGATTCGGCATACTGTGCAAGGGCGCGCCAGACGGTGATGGAAACATTAATTAGGCGGCGGTGCGACGTGCGCACAAAAATTATGTTTTCGTCACGCTGATACTGGCTGTAAAAAAAAAGACGGCAAGCGGGCAACCAACTCATTGAAGCTGAGTAGATCCAGCGTTGTTCACACAAACCCTTTTTGCTATTAGTCTTTGCTATTCCCTTTCTCCAATTCTGCTCCTTTCCAATCAAATTCTTTTCACTCAGGGCTGCAGGTCATGCCGTAACATATGTAGTTACACTACCGGAGAAGACTTCCAGCTACGTCGAAAAGAAGCTTGCAAAATATCGTGTCAGCTTCCACCAAGTGTCGTAGAAGCCTTCCTTTATATCATACCGCTTTATCGAAGTTCGCAATTTTAAATCGTTCCGTTCTTCATTGCTATCCCAGCTACGTGCCCTGTTTGACAATGTTGTTCTCCCGATACATGCAGCTGCAGAAAGGGCTGACTCATCAGCAGCTATTAGGAAAACCGTGAGATAAAGAAGGTGGTTTTCAGAAAGGAAAGCATCATGTCTTTGATCATCCGTTATTCGCAAGTTTTACTTCTAAATTGTTGATTTCTGCTTCTGTTAGAACCTACGGGCCTCAATGGCACCAGCCATTTCATAACCTAGGCAAGAAGGTAGTGATCTAAAACGTGGATAAGAGATAAAATAGATACTGGGTTGAAGGTATTAGTTAGATCTAAGAAAAAGAGAAGGACAAAAATAGTAGTAGGGTAAAACGGACTGTAGAACAAAACGGGATATTGGAAATAGAAGTAGCTAGCTTCATGTTTTCGACTGTATCAGACGAAGAAAAGCGTGCTGTTGTCACTCACCATAGACAATCATTTCCTTGGTCTTCGTGTCCTGGCCCTGCAGTGACGTGACGGAACATGAATAGCTTCCACTCATCTCCGTTGTGGGCCGCATGATCTTGAGAGCGCGGTATTTTGTATATTTGTCAGCTGGCCCATTGTCATTGTTTGCTAGACCGCCTCTTCGATGATGGTGGACGAGCATCGGTGTCGATGGCGGAGGTACCTCGAAGTGGCGATCGATGTGCCCCTCAAAGCGCGACTTCGAGTAGGACCTTTTATTAAGGTCCGGAATCCACTGGTAGATGGGCTTCGGGTCTTGGTTGAAAAACCATTTTACTACTAATTGTTGATCCTCGAGTGAATACTGATACACACAGTCCAGAACGACGGAGTCCGCCGTTCCGTTTTCGACAAATTGAGGCACGACGACATCCAAAATGCGTATGCCATGCGTGTTCGACAGCAGTGGCAGCAATTGTAGAATCACTCCTGTAATCGAATAATTTTCATGACAAAATGGTTTCGAAATCGTGGAGCTTTGTCAGACAAGAAAAATTAGTATCCTAGAATATGGCATAATGTATGACATTAATGTCTATATATTCGTGTGCCCCGTCTACATTGCAACGAGTACTAAAATTAATAAGCTTTTAAAAACACGATTTCAACAAATGCCCATTATAGATTAAGAAGCAATTTATTTTGTATTTAATAGCGATAAAAATAGTAATCATCATTACGTCTATTATTTAGCACGTCCACAATTCGCAATATATAAGACGACTTACGTAGATCTGCAATTGTTCAAATTTTTATATTACGGCCGTTGAGTCTTAACAAAAGTTAACCAATTAGAGGCACAACAGAAGCCATGCTGATCGGTAAAAACTAACATTATGCGTTGGTCATTACGTTATAAAGAAAAGGTTATACGATAAACTATTCGTTCGAATTGTTCGAATTCGTTTGAATAAATGTCACAGGACTCTTCGCCTTATTTTTTGGATGCATTCATTTTAGTATCGAACAGATATATCTATCTGTAGCATGGAACGGGTGCGAACGTTGTGCTTACATCAGCCAACTTCAAAGTTGCTCTAAAGGTATCTCGTTCAATAAACACTCTCTTGCGTACGTTCTTTTTCTAGTTACATATGAGGTTATCAATGGGAAGGGAAGATTACGCTTCGCCAACCGAACCTAAACTTCCACAAGTAAAGCATACTGATCGTACATAGCACGCAGGATCAAAGATGGCTTAGATGCTTTGTTTTTTTCTGATCCGCGTGAATTCATAATGCGTTTAATAGAATAGTGTTAGTTCACTGTATCTTGAATAATAAAGCTGTATTAAATAATGCGATATTGTAAAACTTATCTTAAACTACTGCCTGCATAATAGAGCGGTTGCACGCTGTTGACCGACTACAAAATACCCAACTTTTGGGTAATGTGGCTTATATCCAAGGTAAGTAAACAATTTTGTTTCAAAAGTAAACTTTCTTCATATATGAAGTATGTATGTGAAACAGGTTAGGGAGCAGAGTAAAGGGCAAACGAAATAGAAGTGTTGAGATAGAAAAATGTTTCAGCTCAAATATTATGGGAATATCTGGAACTCAACCCCCTGAGGATTACTGGTAAAGTTACTTTGTTTAAAATAAGAATCGTCATAATGTCCAGTTAGTATGTTTCTGTAAGGAAGAAAAAATTTCACTGTTGGCTCGTAATTGCTTAGGAACAGCAGCCTCTTTGTAGGGCTTCTCATATATTTTATATGCACCGCTGTTGAACGATTAATAATACACGACCGCGCCATATTCTTCCACCGGCTTCATATAGAATATATCATAGCTGGCCGATGGCAAAACCTCCAGAGGTATCGCTATTTTCATATCTACCTTCTTGACTTTACTTGATACATGTACATATTTTCCATCTTTCGACTAACGTTACACGGAACGATCCCTGAAAATGTGGTTGACAACCTGCCTCCTTCTGCGAAGCAGTGCACTACATACATATCTTGATCCTTGTCCACTTCGATCTGGCACTAAATGGCCATTTGAATCAAGCCACTACAAACCAACTACTTCCATCCATAAGGGTAAATGCAATTTTAATGTTTACATGTAGAACTACCAAAAGCCAGGTACTCACTGTCAGACAACAAAGTAATTAAAGATTATTTATAAAAAAAAAATAAGAAATAAACCTAAGGAAAGAAAATGTATATGCATATATAACAACCGCAAAATGCAAGCAATTGAAAACATTGGGGTTTATCTTTTTGTTCGTAGTGTTTATAAAGATGTTTGAACAGATCGTAGCGGAAGTGTTGTAGCAGAGATTCCAACTCGTTTATTTCCAACAGATTTCAAGGAAAGGCGTTGATTACGGTATTACGTTCAATGTACCCCCTATGCACACTATTTCGGCAATGTTCCAGTAGAAAGACGCAATATCTTTAAAATCTTACCTGCATCGCTAAAATCAGTAAACGATGATATGTTTCTAGCAGGATGAACATTATGCTTTAGGCTGTTCGACACGGTTGTTGCAAATTATGCTTCTGAATCGCTTCCTGTTAACCTACGAATAATGCAGACAAAATAAGCTTTCCATGTGCCTGCGCGTATGTCCTTGTCTTTTGGTTGACTGGACAGTTGTTTCCAGATCCAGAAAAATCCAGAGGCCTAGAACGATGTCCAGTCTCCCTGCGGCAGTACTAGCATGTTTGGCTACTTGACAGTAGAGACACAGAAGGGATCTAGATTTGAACTTGGATATAAGCACACTTTAATCTCCCAGCAGAAATTCGACAAACCAAAAGGCGATATATTTAGTTATTTCTTCTCCTTTGTGAGACCCTTAACCTGACAAGTTCCTAAAAAAATAAGCTTTTAATAAAATCGCGGAATCGAAATCTACTGTAAAAAAACAGCTGAAAGTCAGCTGTGTTAGAAAATGGAAGACAAAACGCTATGGCACACACACACACACACACACACACAGTCGAATTTCTGCTGCCGTTCGCGCTACGCATTGGACACGTTCTCCGTATGGTTCTCCTAGAGCGAGAATTTGGCTCTACTGAGTCACTTCTTAATTTCAAGCGTTTACTTACTTCAGTCATCACTGAATCTTTACTTACGAAAAGGCGGGAACAGGGAGAAGCGACGTTGTTCACTATTTTCCAGCACATCGGCCAGCAGTTCGCAGTACGGTCGTAAGATCGATAACCGGCTTACCTAAGCTTGCCAAAGCAAAAGTTCGCCATGCTATAGGCAATTACATAAAACAGAAAAACGCTCGTAATCGCAATAATAACATCGGCGACAAGGACACACCAGCTTCGCTGTTGTTGTTACTACGATGATGGGTTGACCCTAAATTTAGAAATGACAATTGGACAATTCGATTGGACAGGACGATTCGGAGCGGATGAATTTGTTGGTCTGTCTTCGCCCCCTTAATAACAACACCGCCAGTTCATCTTGGCTGTAATCGTCGTCTGCCAAAAAGCGGAAGAATTACCAAACTAGAAAATACTCTGTATTTACTGTTGCTTTTAGAAGTAGTGCTTCAACATCAGCAGATTCAAACTTTCGTTCGCCAGTAACGCCACAAGCGCTAAAATATCTACAACAGTAGAACCTTACACTTAACACGAGAGTAGTTACTCTTTTTTTTTGCATTTTTACGGACTTTTTATAACATTTATAGAAGTCAAATTGTTGACAAATTGTTGTCTAACGTTGATTAGAGCAAGCACAGATACGTACTGATGGCACCGGTCAGTAGAAAGCTGTCTAGGGATATACATATAACCTTAAACGGTTTTCTATCATTCAATGTCACCAAAAGCTTCTGGACTATCTTCAGAGGTTGAAGGTTAGCAGGCAGGTACAAGACATTGGCATAATCGAATTTCTAGACAGCCGCACGTACCCCGAAATCTACCAGCTAATCCGTTGGGCATTTGATTTGCGGTACAGCTATGACGACTCATGGTTGCTTTTGATTCCCAAACCATCTGATGGACCAATATCATCATTTATAATGATGATAATAGCAGTAGATGAGGTAGTCAGCATCGAAAGGTGGAGTTCTGCGCCCCATGCACCCTTATTGTTAAATTATTGGCCGCTTTTGATATGCGTCCGTGCATATCGTTTTATGTATGCATTCAGTAAGCGTACAAATATAGTATAACAAAAATGTGCAGGCTTCTGTTCTATTATACATAAGCGGTCAGTGCCTATATACGCCGTTGCTCGACTCTACGCATAATCGAGCGTCATGCCGCAACTGGTATCCACTTGACTTTGATGTCGACTGAACCATGACACATATACATGCATACTTACAGGACCTTTCATGCGTAAACCCTAACCGTAAATGCCTACATACCGACCAATCAAACAGCTAAGTACAAAGACCACTGTTCTTCATCGCTAATAATTATACGACAATGAAGAATATACGGTTTTCAGGTGATCGTAATAAAAGGTCCAGCTGCACAGAGAAAAATAGTCTATATTCGTTGTAACAGTACTAACGAATGCGACCGGTCCTCGTCCTGACCTCAACTGTCGTCTCTAGCAAATCTGCTTTTGTGCCCTCCCTAGCTTCCAACGGGAGTTCTACCACTGCAGGAAGCAGCTAAGTATGGATAGAATACAGTAAGGCCATATTGTCCTAGATTACCACGTAGATATTGATGTATCATTGACGACTGCATAGAAAGCATATCATCAGCAGAGCTAAACGCAAATGTGGGTGGAGGGCATAATTGCCAAATTATTACGGTGCCGTTGCATTTAGAGAATGAGTATTACAGGCCGTACGGTTGTATGGAGGGAACGGCAACGAAGGCTATGCGCATCAATTGTTTCTGTATTCGAGTCGCATTTCACCAACAAGCCGAGAACAATGTTCATCGCCAAAGGAGGGTGGCGGAGTAACATGACAGCTCAATGCAGACGAGCAGGCCAAAGCAAAACGTTCCGCCTTACCGCCGACAAAAAGGCAAAGTTATGATGATAGCTATGGCATTTATCGTTGACAAACCACGATCAGCAGGCAGGTGCATTGACATGGCTCTGATTTTCTGAGTAGAAATGGCGATAATATTAGCAATAATACTAGTAATAATGTAGTTAAACCTTGCTTGCCCTTTTTTCTTGAATAGCAACGTTGGTGTTAGCTAGCGCAATATATGTCTATGTGTATGTATGATTTATTTGCTCTCCTATTTTTGCGACTGGTTATATGGCATGTCCCAATTTGTTTTTCTTCGCAAACGAAACTCTACTAATATAAGAGGAGAGACGAGCTCCGCTGCCAGGCCATAGGCTTTCATACTTTATCGTCTTTCCAACGGATTACGTATTGACACACCCACGCATTTTAAACAGACACGCGCATCCAGAAATCTAGTAGTAGGCACCAAACGATCGGTAGCTGACCAACTCGATTCAGGCGGC